TCTCCTAAATAGCACGGAATGCTGGGTAATAAACAGGGTTTAGGAGAGATCAAATTTATTCAGAACTTCAAAAGACAGGAAATTGAGAGAAAGAGTGGAGAGTCATGATTGCCAACGTCTTGAAGGGACACAGCAAAGAAGAAGAAGAAGAAGGAAAAGAAGGAGACTAAAGAGGAGGAGGAAAGAAGAAAGAGGAAAAGAAGAAAAAATAGAAGAAAAAGAAGACGAATTAAAAATTATTAATCATTCTGAATTATATTTTTTTTTAAATATTCTTTTTTAAAAATTGTTATTATTAAAAAAAAAAAAAAGAAATAAAGAAAGTGAATGGCAGACCACCCAATAAAGAAGACAACGCTAACTGTCTTCATTGCACATCCCATCATGCCTCACAGTTCCGGTCGATAAACTCTCCACAAATGTAAGTTTATACTCTTAAAATTCGTCTCCATTGTATTTGTGGCGCCTCCGACCCAGAAATGTCTGATTGAACAAAACTCCTGCCCAGTCCTTCCATAATCTCTCTTTTACAGAAAAAAAAATTCAAGGTTTTTTGTTCAAACAAAAAATAATTAGGTAATAGATACATCTTGAATTGTAGATATCAACACGAGAAGATATACATTTGACTTTTTTTACATATTTGTTTTTATATATATATATATATATATATATATATATATATATATATATACACAAATAAGAGAAAGAACAAATGGAGTAAAAATTCACAGTTCGTAGCATTTACTTTTTTAAAAAGTGCTCAATACAAAGTAGAGCAAAATATTATAATATACGAAATTATAATAAAAACATTTTACATCGCTACATGAAATCTTTGATTTAGCGATGTAAAATGTTTTTTATGTTTTTGATTTTTGTGTAGCGATGTAAAATATTCTTATTATAATCTTGTATCATAAAAAAAATATATATATATATATATATATATATATATATATATATATATATAACTATGAGCCTAAAGAACCAGGCAAACCTACCTAGGTTTCACCTACGCGGATCGTCACTTTACTTAGTTACTTTTGTTTTACTCGATTTGCGGGTTTTTTTCTTTGGACTCTGAACTTAGATTCTGGACGATTGTTTTCGCCTCAATTACATAGTTCTTTTTTTTTTTTATCCCTTTATTTTTCCTTGGGTATTGGTCTGTTCATTTACAAGGCTAAACGCCTAAGGTTTTTCCAGACAAGTATAATTACTTATATTTATATTATTATTATCATTATTATATATATATATATATATATATATATATATATATATATATATATATATATATATATATATAACGAGAGAGAGATAGTTAAGTACGAGGGTCTTCTGAAAAGTTATTGGCTCGACCAAGAATTTTTTTTTAAATTAGTGTCTTTAGGACGAATATTGGGAAGGTTGAAAATTATTCAATACAACCTGAGTGATTTTACACGTATAATTTCTTCATGTGTATTATGTACACGTATAATGTACACGTTCACTTCTATAATCTTACATACACGCAGACACGCATAGATAGATAGTAATAAATTAAATTAAATGTTTACTTGTCATATCACTACTCTCAGTTTCATGGACACTACATCCACTCGTCAGGAGAGTTGATTGAAAACTTGTTGAATATTATAATCAAGTCACCACACGAGTGGAGATATCTTCACATAACTCAAAATAGGAATAATATGAATGAAGATTTAATTTTAGTTATTAATATTAATTCTCTTTTTATCTTGATATAGAACTTTTTGATTACAAAACTGTTTCTCTTAAAAACAGGATCTTCCGGAAATACCCTGCTTAACTGTTTTATAGGTGAAGCAATGTTTTATTTTAAATTGTCATATAGAGAGATATGCAGATATAGAAAGTGCGGACATAGGAATCACTACTGGATAGTGACCATCAGTTCCCTACATCCATGAGTTTATATCTACTAATGTGCTATCTCCGATATTGATCACTTTTCTCCATAAATATAACAAATTTTAAACCATATATTCTCCGTTGTTATACAGTATATATATATATATATATATATATATATATATATATATATATATATATCTATATAGAAAAGGGGTTTTAGAGAAAGGGTTTTAAAAGCAGCGGCTCCTACTGCTATTAAGCATTACTCTTCAAGTATGAATTGAGTTCTCCGAGCTGCTGTCGTATTTAGCATAGAGAAAAGATTAAAATGCCCTTCCTTTCTGCCGTGTCACGACGGCCTAGAGGTAGGGGTAAGATATCTGACTTTCAGATATATATATATATATATATATATATATATATATATATATATATATATAGAGAGAGAGAGAGAGAGAGAAATCTAATGGAACAAAATACAAAAGCTTTTTAACGACGCGTTTCGCCGACGTTTATTAGTTTTAACTTCTTCAGTTTTATAAATTTAACTGCAATATAAAATATTGATGGCTTTTAAAACCTAAATACATATATAGTAATTTGTTTTATTCTTAACTAATTATTAAATAAATAAAATGAAGCAGATAGATAGATAGATAGATAGATAGATAGATAGATAGATAGATAGATATTACTATAAACATTATTTTAATGAATATACGTATTTGCATGAATATTCCACGTTTTTCAAACAGAATAAACAAATAAATATTTTGTATTAAATCATATTCAATTAAATCATAATTAAATCATATTTAAAATAAATAATATTCAAAAGAATCTCTTGCTGATAATCATTGCTTAATTTAACTGAAAATACTATTAATCACCTTTAATTATATAATAATTCACTGGCCTATTTTTGTTTTTAAAACAAGATAAATTTAGCCTTTTTTTTTTTAATTAACATGTGAAATATATGTCTATTTAAAAAGAAATCATAAACGTACGGTTTATTTTTTTAAGTCACCTAAACTTATAAATTTAGGTTGTCTACCTTGAACCATTTTACTTCGATTATCTCCCTTACATTAAAATTTTCGATAAGTTTAGTTTTAGAAGTGCACCATCTTACCTGCACTGGCTGGCTGGCTGGCTCGCTCGCTGCTAGCTGGATGGATGTAATTGCTTCTCTACGGTAGTTATTCATTTTTAGATTATAATAAACAAAGAAAATAATTTTGCAAATAATTTTGCAAATATTGAAATTACATTGATTGATATACATACACTCCTGTGTTAATAATACTGTAAATGTATTAAGGTTGTTTCGGCGCTCGTTTCAATTCAGCTACTTTTAATCATATGCTGCCTTTTTTATTCTTTTTTCTGACAAAACTGAAAATAAATATACATAAAATAATTTGTGTGGAATCAATTATTTTATCTTATTGGTGTCTAAGTGCAAAAGAAATTTCAAATTTCAATCTACGATGAAGCTTTGTAGTGAGTCCCGTTTAAAATGAAAAATAAAATATGAATATATATATATATATATATATATATATATATATATATATATATATATATATATATATATAAAAAAGCAAGAATTCAAATTGAAATAAAGCATTTTATGATTCCTTTAAAATCCTTCTCTCTTTCTGTCTGTCTGTCTGTCTGTCTGTCTGTCTGTCTCTCTCTCTCTCTCTCTCTCTCTCTCTCTCTCTCTCTCAACTTACGCCTACACATCCTCCAACCATCCACCTTCAATCATCAAGCAAATGCCCATATCAATCAGCCGCAGGCTATTTGAAAACTCATCAAACATAGACATTTTCTATAACAAGAAAAGGCCATGTGACGAAGCACTAAAAAAATGTGGATACACACAACAACTACAATACACACCTCCAGAACCGAAACCCAAAAAAAGAAACATTATCTGGTTTAACTCACGATACAACAAAACCCTCAAAACAAAAATAGGAAGGACAAACCTAAACTTAATAGAAAACACTTCCCTGAAACAAACCGATTAGCAAAAATATTCAACAAAAATAACGTTAAAATCAGTTACAGCTGCACAAAAAAATATAACACAGATAATAAAAAGCCACAACAAAAAGTAACAACCTGCAATAACGCAACCAAGGAACAACAATGGAACTGCAGAAATAAAACATGTCCTCTCCAAGGAAACTGCCAACAAACGAATACAATATATAGAGCCAAGGTAAGTGCAAACAAGAGTACAATGTACTACATTGGGGCCACAGAGGGACCATTCAAGAAAAAAAAACAAAAACAAAAAACAACCACGACTTTTCATTCTCCGACAGAAAATACTCAAACAGCACTATACTATCCACATACATATGGCATCTAAAAGACAGAAATATTACATCAAGAATAAGCTGGAAAATATTGAAAAACTCACCTTCTTCCAACAGCATTACAAAGAAATGCCTATTTTGCCTACACGAAAAGGTAGCAATAATTACTCATACCGAACAAAAGAAATTACTAAACATAAGATCAGAAATTATTTCCAAATGCAGACATGAAAACAAATACCTATTATCACAATTTATGCCAAACAGATAAAAAAAAAATGACAACCATTACTACCGCATCACAATTACCATTGTCGCATTAGTCTACAATTACTACCGCATCAGTCCACAATTATATTTAGTTCTCCCCACACCTACCCCAGAAAATTAATGCCACCACATAAGTACTAATAAGCATTATAAATTGTAGTTTCTACCATTTACATATGCGCAATCGCCAAAAACAAGCAAATAACCGGCTTTAAAATAATAGCAAAACAGCATTAAAAAAATTAAAAATAATAACAATTTTACCTACCATAGTCTTACTCTAACCCCATCATCATAAAAAAAAAACAGATAGAAGATGTGTGAAAGCGTGTGCATACGTATATACGTGTGCGAGAAAACATTATTCGGCGAAAAAAATAGACGAAGGTCTGCACGGTGACACCGCAACTGACGAAAAAATTTTGCTACACAATCCAACATTGAATAGAGCGACGAATTGCGTTGTATTTACGCAACGACACATGGGTCCGCATATATGCGCAGTCCCACACTGTTAATATATGTTCTATGTTTGTGTGAGCTCCAGTGAGTGAGTGTGCGAGTTTGTAGACGTATGAGTGGCGTTCCGAGGACAATTTTTCCTCCCACAACCATAAAAACACCGATATACGCAACCATATATAAATACAACATTTAAAAATTAATCAGTTTGTCTGACGATCGCAAATAGCGTGAAACCCATGGTCACAAAGTCACACCAATCCAACTAGCTCTATCACTGATATTGAGCGCTTTCCAATAAGTACCTCATATATATAATATATAAATAATATATAAATAATATAATAATATATATATATATATATATATATATATATATATGAAGAAATATACTCTTAAGGTGTGCTATATTTATAGGATAAAGTGCTCAATATCAGAGATAGAGCGTGTGTAAATATAAAAGTGAACATTGAAGTCAACAATTAGAGGCGACAAGCTGTTTCATGCTAGACGCAATCATCAGGCCACGAGTGTTATTTTTTTTCTCGGCTATTTATATATACGTGTCAGTGGTGCATTGTGGGTAGACTATTTTGGCGGTTATTTTACCGGAAGTCGTTTATTTGTTTATTTATTTATTTATTTGGTTCAAGTTATTTTGTTTGTTTTTATTTATTTTTATTTTTATTTTTTTATTTCTTATCTTATATATTTATTTATTTTTATTTTAATCGGTGTTTTATTAACGAAGTAAAAATTTGTTTGTATCGCTTATTTAAAAACATCTTTCACAGATAGTAAATACGCGAACAGCACAATGCTTTCTAAGTATATCTGGGAAATTAAAAAGAAAACGCACATCACACCAAAAATATCTTGGAAAAGATCACCAGTCTACAAAAAACAGTTCAAAACTTTGCTTGGAGGAAAAAAATAGCTATCATTACCTTCCCAGACCAAAATGAATTATTGAATAAATGATCCGAGCTCGTCTCAAAATGCAGACATGAAAACAATTTTTTACTACGTTACTTAAAAATCGAAAACTGAAAAAAGAATAAATAAATAAACAAAACAACAAAATGACAATAAAATACAAAATAAATTAACCCAAACAAATTACCAGATCACACCCGTTAGAATATACGAAATAGAATAAAAAAAATAAAAAACAAAATCAATAAACCCAAATAAATAAAGTAAATAATAAACAAATTAACAAACCATTATGACCAAAATATTTATTAGACTATAAAGATCAAACCAAAAATCGAACGAAAAACATAGCTATAACTTCACTCCATTTTTGGTGTTACAAGGAGTTTTGTTGGTCTCTCACTCAATTGCACCCCACATATAATAATCAAGGAGGTTGCAGTCTGAGTTAGGTGTCCAGATTTAAGGGGTGATGTCGTCACAGAAATTGTCTGACAGCCATGACTGGGTACTACTGCTTGTGTGGCATGGTGCATGATCCTGTTACAAGACATAGGGTCTTCCAGAAGCCACCCTCTTGACCCAGGGCAACACTACCTCCTCAGGGCACTTGATGTAGGCTTCCGCTTTGTGTCAGAGTCCTTGTGGGAAGACGAATGGAGTCATAATGTTGCCATCACTAGTGATCACTCCGAACACCATGATGCTAACTGGATATATCATCCAACTCTTTCTGAATCCTCTGCACTGACCTCTGAGTGACACCCAAACACTCTGAAATGTTCGTATTGGAGCTTCCGGCGCGAATGCCAAGCAGTACAGCATGTGGTTTCCAAATTTCTGGTGGAGTGAATTGAGTCGTGGTGCTCTTTTCCTCACAGACGGTGCTAAACTGAAACCTTCTATACTATGCAGTCTATGACACTATAAAGTTTCACTGGTTGTAGTTGAAAAGGTCAATGAAGACACTATTGTGACTCTGATAGTATGAGAAGGATTAAAAGGATTCATATGAAAACCCCAATTAGGATTTGGAGAATTGGAAGGGTTAAAAAACGTTAAGGTGAAAACATGAATTGAAATATGGAGCTAGGAAAAATAGAAAAATGTTTTTTTTCTTTCTTTCTGATAATCAAAAACGCAGAATGGAATGTCGGGTCCAAAATATGATTTGAGAAACGTGGGATGTAGATACCTTGTCGGCCGAGAAGCAGTGGAATTGTTACGATTCGCAAAGACGATAATATAAACAATCTAAAATATGACCTGAGGAATGAAGAATGTAGGTTGCTTGTCAGCCGAAAAACAAATATATATATATATATATATATATATATATATATATATATATATATATATATATATATAAATCACAGGCCGAATCTGAAATAGGGTTTTGTAAAGATGGGCAAAGATTTTTTGATCGGTCATATTGAAAAGTCGACAACAAAGAATATTCCTTAACGCCAAGGACATATAAAGAATTTATAAACACAAGTTTGTTGTCGAAGAATTTATTGTTTTGAATAAGTGACCTACTGCGAACCGCTTAGCTTGTTGGTATCGATTCCCCCAAATTGGAGAGATAATTAATGGATTCATATGAATATTAATGAATCTTGAGATGCAGTTGGAGTCAGGCGAAATACATATAGGCGGGCGCTTAAGCGACCTGAACCCAAAAGCCACG